TAGCTAGGCTTTTATTAGGAACCACTGTTTCCATCAGGGGGGGGGGGTAAGAAGGGTCAGCCGGTTTCTGGTCCATCCAGATTAATTTGGTGCTGTTCGAAATTCTTGTTGAGAATATGATGTTTCGGTTTCTACTATTGAAAATCCTACTCAGAAAATCAAGCTGTCAAAATGAAATTAGATTGAATACGAGGAAAGGTGAATGGTCAAGCTTGTTTATACGCGAGCCTCGTAGTCACACCGCTTCCCTTCGCCTGGCTTCGTGCCATCTCGGTTTTGATGAGCTACATTAGCATCAAATCATGATATTTCTGCTCAGATGTACTATACCCAAGAGTGAATGAATGAATTGAAACATTCAATGAAAACATCGGGTTAACTTTCAGGGTGTGCAAGTTCTTTGTTCTTGTTGCTCGCAGATTTGAGAATTTTTATGCAATATGGTAGTGGGTGGAGGGGCAAGAGGGAGCTGTAATAAAGAAGTGTGAAGCAGGTGGATCGTTGCCCCTCTAAAATATGTATTATATGTTCGTATTAAGAGTGTGTAGTTTTATGATGTGCTGAAGTTCTCGAGTGGTTGCTACTGCTAAAATCGCAATGTAAAGCTTCCTTGGTGGCTATTCATGACTTTATTAGGGTGATATAAATAAATGTTATATAAATGGGGTTGGGCTTGGTGAAGATTTTTATTTATTATGACTTTAATGTTTATTTTTATGAAGTATTATTCAAAGTTACTAAAGCCAATATTTAAGCTGCTCGGAAGAACTAAAGAAGCTGAAGATGCCGCAGTATGCGCAAAAAATTCTGGAGGGAACCGTTGTTGGTTGTCTACGAGAGAAGTATCGTGAATCGGCTCATAATCGTATAGAACTTGGACCACAATGCAAAGCAGAGGTAAGTTGCGTATGCAAACAATTTTAAGTTTATTGATGTCAGTTCGCAGTAGAAGAAGACGAGCAGCTCAACTGAAGGACTGAAATCAGTAGCAGCTAGTACTGCAATCACTAGCAAACAAAGGATTGGATTTGAAAAGAGGCCACTTATAATCGCCTTTGACATTGGTTGAGAGAACGCTCTGGGCATTTTATTGCCAGCCTAGAACGTGGAGTAGCAACGAAAAAGCGAAAGATACAGGACCCACAGTGGTAGGCTTCAGATGTAAATGTGCCGATAGGAGGTAAGATTTGCAACTCGACATCGGGCAGTAACTTTTTCCTCGGTTACTCACCGGCTCTTCTGGGGCGCCAGACATAATTTGCTTTTCGAGGGCGTGAACTTTGAGAAATCCTCAATCAGGATCAACACGGTTCGCTGTGACTATTGGAACTTTTCACCTCCTCTCCCCTATCTAGAGGATGCCCTTCGACAAGGCCTCCTACAGGCGTGTTGATAGTTTCGACTAACTCTGAACTCATATGACTATCCCCACTCGACACACTAACCCATCTCGTATAACTTCGTATAATGTATGCTATAGGGGGGGGTGGGGGCGACGTGAGAGCTAAGGAAGATAAAGTATACGGTTGTAACCGTGATCGCTTTCACCAACATTTGGCTTCCATTCACCACATTTCACGAGCAGCACGACTCTCCCCCTCTGGGAAGGCCAAATAACATCACACCTCCTCTTCATCCAGATATCGCAAATACTACGCTCGTTGGACTTGGCACAATGAAAGACGGTTAACCCTCGTCCAAGTTGTTTGTAAATCGCGCGACGATCGCGCTACTTTGACATCTGTCTTAGACTTCCATTTTCCGGAATGTTTGTTTGTAAAAAAGCAGTGCTGTTTATTTATAAGAGCTTTTTTCCCCAACTGCGATGCGAAAAAAAACAAAGAAAAGAAGCTGTAGATCTCTGTGTGCTGAATGCTTTTACGCTACCATACTTCTTTACCCTTTGACGACCGCCGTTATGAATGCGTCACTTCACTTTTCTAAATTTTTCATCAATAATCATTAACTCTCCAACAATTTCACTATTAGTAATTAGCGCATTATTCCGCGAATTCGATGATGTATTTGTGTAGTTTTGAAACATAAAAAATGCCAAAATAAACCCCTAAAAACGTGTCGCCACCGAGCGAAAGTGTGGCCCACCGGCGGGCCACACGGTCGTCAAAGGGTTAAAAAATCGGGTGGGGGATGAAAGGGTTCTTAGGCCCCATGAACCCGCGTTGACTTTTCCTGATGAGTGCTTATTTACTAGACCAGGTTGCCGTTGAATGTTTCGTCGCGGCAACATCGTGACGTTTCTGAAATCCCTATTGCATACCGACGTTTTAGATCACAAAAGCAATTGTGGAAGCAGAATTTGATCCTCAGCTGGATCCACCGTTGTATCACGCTTGCCAAGAGACCATCAAATTGCATTGTGTTCTTCAGCGATAATTCAACATGTAAGTACAACTTTTCTCACTAGGTTCTGAACAAGCAGACTTGGGTATATTATCCGAATGCTCATGGAATTTTTTAGGGACCATATAATTCTGCGTTCGATTTTCATCATACTGCAAATCGAAGTGTCTGCAATGTTTTTAATGCTTTACCTTCTCAGAGTGGTGGGTTCGATACCGTAATGGACTGCCTGAAAGCCGACTTCCACAAAGGAGCCATCTCAGATCCAGATTGTAACAAACAGGTAAATATCAAGGATTTCAAGGAAATTATTTAAAAGTGCGTCACTGTCATTGTTATCGGGAATGGTGGATTGCTTGCCTTAGAACTGTGTTACGCACTTTTACATTTTTTTTCAGATTGCGCGCCGTGTAGAGGAAACCATGATTGATATCCATCTTGATCCTCCACTTCTAGAAGCGTGTTCAATCGATGTGCAACGTCTTTGTCGTGACGTTGTTCCAGGACATAGCCGAAGTAGGTCGTTGCACAGTGTGTAGTGCATCGGGAGTTGTACCGTTCTTTAGTACGGAAAGGGTTCGGAAACTCAAGTGATGCTTTGTTCTTTTCTTCCTATCAATGTTATTTATTTTTGCAGTAATTATGTGCCTGATGGAGGCAGCGGAGAGTTCCAATGCTCAAATGTCGTCTTCATGTCGCAATATGCTTGCGGACAGAAACAAGCTGTGGATGAAAGCACATCAGGTTGGTGTATCGTTATTCATCTTGTTTGTTTATTTATATCTACTCTTCCTAGGAGACGGGTTAAGCAAATAACAGTGAGATATGAAAGAAGCAGTCTGAAGGCAATCCTCTTTGGGTAACGGCAGTTTAGTTGGTATTTAAAGTGAACGTTTCCCACCCAAATATTACATCTCATTCATAAGAACCTAACCGACTTAATCTCGAAAACGAGGGGTGAGGGTTAAATACCCGCCTGGGGCGAAGACTTTGCCCATTCTTGTGCCAAGCGACTTATTTATTTGTTTATTTGTTTAATTTGTGCGTGTAGCTTTTCTATAGAGCCGACAGTGTGATAAGTTAAAGATCCAAAACTTATGTAGATGATATTTGTAAAGTTATATAAGTGAGAAAGGTGTTCTCGGAAGTTTCTTCTAATTGTTGATGTTTTCAGCAATATCAAATGGCATGGCCAGAAAGCTGGCACGAAGCCTACAATCTGGTGGCGACTCATCCTCATAAGGTTGGTGGCATTGAAGTACAAAATCGGATTGAATTACCGTTTTAAATTCCGAATTTCAAAGACTTCGCCAAAATGGAAACTTCAATTTTATTCTTTTTTTTCTGCGCAGATTTGCATACGTTTCACTTATTCTTTCCACATTCACATATACTTCACAAATACGTCCCTTTGAGGGCGTAAAAAATTACCTTGAATTCTTCCCTGTAGGTGATAGCCTAGAATCGCTGGTAGTAACCTGCAATATCCTCTCTTTGCAAATGATATTCCCACGATTGGCGTATTCATCCATCCCATAGTTTATCATGGCGAAAGGTTGCAGATAGGCAAATAAGAGTGGAATATATTTGAAATTAGACTTATTTGAAGGCACATCCCGCAGTAACCAGTGTAGTATTCCAAAAGTGCGGTATGTGTTATCAACGCAGGAGGGTGGCGATATTAGACCCTAAATGCCGCCAACCTTCGCTCCTGTCTCCATCTTTCTCGTCTCCTTGTTAACGGACTTTAAATTCGGAATGAACTCACCACGGCTTGGGCTTGTTCACTGGTCTAAGTCATTTTTGAAGTGGGGTCTTATCACGGACTCGCAGCGGTTTCTTTGGTTATTGTGTTGTATTTGAACGGCACCATCCTTATTTTATTAGTCTGAGGACTAATTTCTCACCTGAGGGTCCCTACTCGCTATTCGTTCTGGAAAAGGGGAGGGTAAGCGGTCAGAAAGGTCACTCATTAGTACGCAGTGGGTGGCATCTATTATGGCGCTACATTCGATAACAACAATAATTGCAAATTTCAATACAGTAAATGCCTAGAAAGTCTAAGTTTCGGAATACGGCTCCCAACAAAGCTAATTCGAACTTAGATTTCAGAATAGGTGAAACCATCCTCAGCGGACGCGAACGCTGGCAGTGATCAGGAATGCATCTAAAGATATCACATCAGGTTCCTATGTGGCGGACGAGTTATATACCAATGAACATGTTGAAGTGCTAGAAACTTTTTGTAGGTGTATATTGCGGGTGGATACGATGAAACGGACTCGAACTTAGTCTCGGACAACTGTTTAGAAAAATTTTTCTTAAGTGTTGGTGTTTCTTGATTTCTTTTCATTTTTCAGGTGTCGATACTCGGATGGTTGTCCGGCGTTGTATTCTTCATCTTGCTTGTTGGTTGCTGTTGTGGACGGTGGACAAAGCGAACGCATATGGAGTTGAAAAACCGATAACAGGTTTCGGCTGAAATTTTTCGCACATTCAAACTTGTTTGTGCTGTATCTGTTTTGATTTGATTCAAAAATATGATAATTGCGGCCGCATTTCTGTTCTGGTTTTTCGGTTTTTCAACTAGTTCTTTTTTATGCGCTCGTATTTTTCATCTTTTTTCCCCTTCTATCATTTCCTTTTTTCTGTTATACGGCTGCTCTTCTCATACGTGTAAGTGCCAGTCCATTGTGTTCTAGTGCATAATGTGTGCGTACGTTACTGTGACTGAGTGTGTGCGCGCGATGATGGATATAATATTTGTTTTATTACTTATATAGCATACATTATACGAAGTTCATTCATTGCATAGTCAAGACACCTATGTATACTGGCAATTCCTTCCTTATTTAAAGATGATTTGAAATTTGAATTACACCACAATTTAGGCCCGGTTAATAGACTTATAACTTATGCAGCGACATCAGAGATTGAGAAGATTATACGCGAAACGGAACGATTCATATTGAGTGCGGAGACAAAAAGATTTTACATGGTTGTTAGGAAATCGAATTGAGTCGGAAGAAACGATCATTTATGTGGTAATAATCTCGGGGTTCTTCGTGAAATCAGCGAACTTTGCGGCAAGATGTTTCATCAAGCACGTATTCGCCATTTCCGGAGCTTATGCAACGGGTGCCTTACTTTTTGCTGTATTTCTGCACATCATTGCCGTGTAGTTTAGTTGATTAAGCGGATTACGGTAGTTTCAAGGTTGTGCGCCTCCAGTGTAGGCCTTTATTTTCGTTCGCAGTAATCCATGTAAGATTTGGAGTCAATTTTCCCTTCATTTTTTTCAATTACCCTGGCCGTGAAGGGCTTACAAGAGAGGTGTGAGGACTAATGCCAAAGTTACCTGTCTCCCATAATTATTTTTTTTTTGAATTTTTATCAGGTGTGATGTGGTAGTTTAGTTGAAGGCGCTGCATTGTTTTTAGTTTCGTTTTGAAATATCCTTCGAAGAACAAAATCTGTCGCTACCGTAATTGTTCATGTAGGGTACAGCTTGAATTGTTGACTTATTTGTTCTAAACGGCTTCTATTCTTTTCTGCGTGTTTTCTTTCGAATTCTCGTATTTGGTATGGAGTATAGAGGGTGATTTAGACTACAATCATGGTTGTTATAATGTTCTGTGATCATGTTAAGGGCTGAATAAATATCTATTTTCATGTTATTGGAAGACGCCCGCACTCATTGATATTTGGAATCGTTTCGGCGATCAAATACAGTGGATATTTCCGTATTTTTACAATTCTCTACGACTTGTTTGACCTTATTTTGCCTGGTATCAGAGATTTTTTTGAGCATTGATGTACTTCCCTTTTTTGCCGTTTGGTGAAAGAGACCGAAGGCGCATTAGTTCAAATGACCTTTGACGTCTACTTTGCAATTTTTGTTCAATTCGTAGAACGGTAGTGGAGTGGCGAGTGGTGCCGCTTATCACATTCACGATCACGAGCTCAAATCCCGTGCATGATGGCCTTGTTCCTATTCCTATAAGGTGGGATAGTTGGCACTAGACTTTTCAGTAGGAGATAAAACTCAGACTAGTGCATCCTGGCCCCAGCAACTCTGAGAGAATGACAAATCGCATTCAAATATCACTGCGATTCTTTGTGAAAGTAGAATGCGTGGCGCATTCCGCAGTTATTGGTATCAAGTGCTAAGACTTCATTTTTTTCTTGTCAATTCATGTATCTCTAAACTGTAAGAGTCCGCTGGTGGTCAAAGTCCTTGAAAAAAGTCTAGTCCCTTCCCGATCATTACAATGAACGGGGGTGGGACATGTGAAGAAATATCAATTTTGAATAGAGTAAAATGTGTTTTCATATTGTGCACACAAAAGACCTAGGTGGATTCCAGTGTTTAATCTGATGTAATTCTTCCTTTGAACAGGCCTATGATAAATATTATATGTGAAGATTTCTTCGATAATCGAAACAAATAGGACGGCAATTGTCGACGGCGGCTGCGTTCATTTTGATTTTCCTTGTTGTTGTTGTTCTGAAGGTGGATCAAGGCAAAGTTTGAATGAGGGCGCATCTTCTGCGGTGTCGTCTTGCTGAAATTACCTTACGTAATTTTGCGCTTTTCTGAATCCCTGTGGTGATTTGGTGAGATTTTGGACGATGGTCCAGCCAAACAGCTGTCCACTGTACTATGGTCCTCCCCAATAGCCATTTGAGTTGGAGATCGATTTAGGGACCTAAAAAAAGGTGGCGGTCGAGACGTGATATGGCCTAATTATGCTAACGACGAAGTTGAGATTGCGGTGAAACTCCAGTTCGGGGGGGCCACTCCATTTTTTCTCCAATACTCAAGATAAGGATTAGAGGGCTCACGACACGTAATCGACTCATTTAAAGTAGACTTCTGATAAATATTGGTGTAATGGGTGAGAAACCCTGAAACGTTTTCACATTTCCGCCTGCCATGACCCAAGGGAACGGTCCTGGACCAGGAGAAAGGACACCTCCGCAAAGGGCTAAGGGTGCAGGAGCTCCAGGGTGGATCACCTGTGCAGAAAAGTGGGATGGGATGGGGCCGGTCCTTATCAAAAGTACGCTCGAAATGAGTCGTTCACTTATTATCTTATCCGTAGTGTTCGATAGCCCCAAAGAACTGCTCTCTAGTACTACGGATAAGATAGCAATGGAGTGCCCCCCCCCCCCGAACTGGAGTTTCACCCGGATTGGCGAACTGAAGCAGTTTTGTGAGTAAATAACTGCTCTGAACATTTGGTGACATTGTGGCAGTCTCTGCTGTCTACTAGGTTCCCGGATAAAGCGTTGGGCAATGCGGGTAAAGGCCGTTAGGAGGCTCCGAGTGAGACGGGAAAAGCCTTATTAAGGCTACATCCGGCAGTATAATGCAATGAATAGTGATGTTTTGGCTCTCTTTGTTCCAAACTAAGCAAAAAACTCCAAAAAAAAAACGTTTTGCACGTTTTGAAGTTTTTTTGGTTCTCGATCACAATTTACCCATGTCGTGTCCGTAGTCATGCTGGAACTCGCGTGCTGAAATGTTTCTCACTTGCCAGATCTGAAGTGCTAGCAAATACGACTCGCTGAGCTGTCATGTCGACCATGGGGTGCTTGACCGTAGCCCGTGGCGCGACGAAAAGGCAGAAACGTAGACGGAGCGGCGGACGAGTCGCAGCGTGCGATGTGGAACGTACCATGGTACATTTTGACTTACCTGACGCTAAATCGCTACGATACGCGTTGCTACTCGTCCGCTGACCTGCCTGCGCCTCTCCCTTCTCGTCGCGCGACGGGGTTTATGTCGGGTCCCACCGGCTTTTGTGACAGCGGTTAACAAACAAAACAAATCAAAATCCACTTTTCTTTCTTTTCAGCCCTCATTGTACTTATTTAAACATTAAATAACTGATAATTGCTGAGTCTTACCCCTTCATCTGGATAATAAGCACCTCCTCCGACAACCTTAAAGATTTCAGATTAGATGCTTCAAATATTATGAAACTTTTATTTGTTTGAAAACCAGTGCTAACGCATCAGGAAAACTCGTTTATTGTCGCGTTTCATCGCAGCTACATGAAAGCAAAGCCCGGCTTTCAGTAGTTTTGAAAGCAAATGTCATGGACGATCAGTTCTTGGGTGAATATGATAGAACTATAGACAAAAAGGAGATGTGCTGCTTTTGGGACTTCAAACTTCACGATCAGGATGCGTAAACATCCTTTTCTCGCAGTGTACGCCTCATACGCAAACTCCGCCTTCTTCAGTTAGCTGTAACCCTGGCAGCGTCATTGACATTAGCTAGCGCGTTTTCCCATTTCCGTTTCCCCGTCAAGTTGACGTAGCTTTTCATGGCGTAGTCGACTATTGGCATAAAGTTAGCAGATGGAAAACTCGTCCAAACCCGCGCTTTCCTAGACCCACGTTCAAGTGCTTCTAATAAAGGTTCCTTATTTAGGACGTTTTCGGCATAAGAGGCGTACACTGAGTTCACTTTCTTCTTTGTCTGTGCACTTTGCACCTCTAGTCGTTTTCCAGTCTGTCCAGTTCATAACCGGTCATGTTCAAAAAGTACCTAATTGCGATTCAACAATAGGGTGGTTATGGATTTACAGTCGTGGTCGCTCATGTCGTGAGGTGGGGGGAAGG